CTGTCGTTTATAAGCTATGCGGTCTGTGTTAACTTGTTATAGCAGCTTGAACTAAGACATCCAGTCACCCTGATCTCCTCCCAAATCTATAAATAGCCTTGTGCATGCTATGTCAGGAATGCTATCTCTTTTCATCCCTGCATCATGATTTACCTGGTTAATGTGTCTCAACTCACAAGTCATTTCCTTAGGGAAGATTCCATCTCCCCACAGAATTGGTCAATTTCCTCTGTATTAGCTTCAAAAGAACCCTATTCTTTCACTTCAGAGAACTTACATGAGTTTTAATGTGACGTTTGTTCATGTGATTATGTCTCCTGCAAGCAGCCCATTTTTCACGACAAAGGACATAGATCTGTGTTTTCTTAGTGCTAAGACTCCACTGTCAGTGAAATATTCACTGGGCTTAGCAGATAGCAGATGCTCAATAAATAGTTATGTAATATCCCTATTAATTACCCTCCTTACCCACAGTGGAGGGCTCATGATGACATCCAGTTGTCTACCAGAAAAAGTAAATGCATATTTTATTATAAGGATGATATACTTTTTATTTTTCTTTCTTTCTTTTTTTGTCTTGGTTGCAAGATTTATCAAAAAACCACAGTGGGTATTCTCCTTCTCTTTTCTAAGACCAGAACAAATAAGCCTATTTAGGTTAAGTGTCCCTTGAGCCACTTCTTTCTCCACCAGAATTTCCTGAGAAAGTTAATGGCAGAGTGTGTGGCAACCTGGAACACTCAGTATTTATGTGTTTGTGAACAGGCTGTGCACCACCTTGTTTCACAGAGAACTGGAGGCAGAAGCGGAGTCTGCTTGGCTGGTATTTATCTTTCAGAAGGATTTCTGATCCAGGTTGTGCCATAAGTATAAGCAGAAGTTTAAAGATGAGCTGGAAGCAAACGTGCTACTGCTTGCCACTGGTAAGGGACAGGGTCTCCACAGAGTTGCTCCTGCAGCCTCTTGGAGAGAGGGCTACTTTAGCAAGTGAACTCTGCTACCTTCACTATCTCTAAGATGTTAAAAGTCAATATATGGAAACGGTTGTTTAAACTACCCAGCTGCTCTAGCAACAAAATAGGCAATATAAAAGCCAAGTATTAACCTCTTTATTGAAAAATGTTATTTATATCAAATCTGATTGGGTTTATATGACTTTTCCAAATTCCTCCAATATTGAGTTGGATAACTCTTCATGACTTTGTGCAAACTATTTACTGAGCAACTTCTGATATCCAACTAGCATGCTAGGATTCTGGGAATTTTTAGTGTAGAACAACAGATGTAAATATATAATTTCTTTGTGGAACTTGCAATTCTAACAGGAGACCAATCATAAACATAGAGTAGGTTAGATAATGATCACTAGAAAGTAGAAAAAAATACAACATAGGAAAAAAGCTGTGAAATGTGGCAAGAAGGACGATTGTATTTTATGCAGAATGGACAGGAAAAGACTAAAAAGATGACTTTCAAATTAATTCTAATTAAACAGGATATATGGAGGGTTATGTTGCTCTGACCAAGGGAATGTTCAGTCACTTTACTATACCTGTGATCTGCGTAAACCTTCCCTCTAACTGGGGCACCTCAGTTTCAGCTCTACCACACCCCACTAGGCTGAATGCCAGGCATTTTTCAAGATCTACTGAAACATTGCTTCCACCCAGACTAATGAAAAGGCCCATTTTTAGGCTCCCAGAGGCTTGTGCTGACAGGAGGTAATAAGGAAATAGTCGGTGTGTTTGTCCACCATTCTACTGCAACCATACACACACACACACACACACACACATTTTTACACAAAGTAAGAATAATATTATGACTACAATTTCTGTGTGCCAATCACCGTGTATTTTATTGACTCCGAAATATTCATATTTATCTTATTGCATAAGCCTTGAACTACTTCAGTAACTTTCCCAGGGTTAGCACCCATAAAGCAATAAAATTAATATGCAAACCTCTGGAGACTCGTCTCTCTCTAATGCTGAGAGTCTTTCCCAGCATCCAGCATCTACGGGTATGTAAAAAGGAAGATGGTTGCTGTAAGGGTGTATGTGTAGCTCAGAAGAGCCAATTACTCAAAAGCTGGTTTTGCCCTTGAGCTTGAACTCAGCCTGCCAGGTCTGAGGCTCCCACTACGGTGACATGCAGGAGGGCCTTTTAAAGAGCAGGTATGCTCATAAGTAACTAATGCTTCTCAGCCCGTTCCTGGGGAGCTCTGTGGTGAAGTGGTTTAAACAGTTGGATGTGGAAGAGTGTGCACAGAGATAAAACACTGAAAAGCACCAGTGGGCACCCCGATACGGATCATCCCCGCATTCAGACTGACATAATCTGAAGCAGTCACCTGAAATGTATTTTTGGCTTTGTTACAACCCAAGATCCTCAAAGGCAAAGTTGTCCTAATTCAGGAGACATTTTCTTTTGGGGCAAATATGTTTGCTGAAAAGCTTTTCAGAAAATAGTTTAATTCTACTTAAACAACGGTTTGGGAATAGGCCATGGTAGGGTGCAGGCAGAAGGGCCAATTTATAAAAATGTCTGGAATTAGGACGCAGAAGTTTTTTGACTATTTTGAAACCCTAGGGTTCACTAAAAACATTTCTGTCATTCAGAGAAGCATGAACAGCTCAAGAATTACTAAGTCACACAGAAATGCTAAAATCCTCGCTGTTTGCTCTATCTCTATGACTTAATTTAAGGAACAGAGGTGAAATCAGCCATCAGATTCTGAGCCCAAAACAAACCTTGCTTTAATTACTTTTTCTATTCAGATAAAAATGGAATGCTCTCTTGAGCACAGTATGTTCAGTTATGTACATTATGCAATACAGGACCAAAGTGATACACCTGCATAATGAGATAACTAAGAGAAGAAATGCACAGAGGAAGTATTGATCTATTATATTTATATGCACATATTTCCAAAATTCCATAAGATATGGAAATGACTTGAATTAAAACTGTTTAACGAAATCTGCACATCCAAAAGTAAGAATTTCAGGACTTTGCAATCTGTATTCAGTAACTATTGAGTAGAAATTATAGGTTAGACTCCAGGTACCTGATTATGAATATGTAATAGGATATGGTGGGTGAAATTATGGCCTTGAGAGTCTCCAACAGGATTTAAACCCAGGTAGATCATTTGCTAACTCTGTGATCATGATTTGATTTATTAATTCAGCTAAGGCTCAGTTTCTGCATCCACACAAAAAAAGATAACACTGGTTAAGAAGCCCATATCTAAAATCCATGAGGCTATATGTGTTTTGGAATTCAGAACTTTTCACACTTTAGAAACATATCAAGGTATATAAACTATATAGTAAGTAACAGTCTCAGCAGGTCTGGGGCAGCACCCTGTAATCAACTACATTAATATTTCTGCAGTGAAATGTATGAACAGTCACAGTACCGGGATGCATTGTGACTATAAATAGCTTCACGTCAGTTCTGCTACCTGAGTTTGTATCAAGAACATAAAAAAAAAAAATCCTTTACAGAATTTTATATTTTGAATTTATATGAATGGGAGTACAAAACCGTTTTATATGCATATTTTCATATGTTCGTGTGTTTGTGTATATACACTCATGCACACTGATAAACCTATACATACATATACATATCTGGGGAACTCTTGTTAGGATCCAATAGATTTATGCCAACAAAGTAGTTTTATAGTACCATTTGACATGCAAAAAAACACTCAATGTTGGCCAGAATATAAGTTCCTTGAAGACAAAGATCATTGCTTTATGGATATGCCCCATGCACCTAACAGAGTGACTGGCACACAGGAAGAGCTTAATAAAGATCAGTGGAGTGATTTATGCTATCTCCTCTTCCAAGCTTTCTTCTTCTAACTAGAACCACATGAAATGAGAAAACACAATGCTCAAAGAGACCCAACTGCCTTTTCAAGACAACAGGTAGAAGCAGTAATACAATCAGAAGCTCCTAGTGAAACACAAAGAATTAAGTCTTGAAGATCAATATTTAATACCCCTCCTATTTTTCTTGTAGATCACTGCATTTGAGAAATGAATAATACTGGCACGATTCAATTCTGAATCTAACTTATTAAGTAATCTGCCAGCAGCAGGCTCATAATTGGAATTCTACCTAAGGTGATAATGTTGCATCAAAATTAATGGAAGCTTAGGGATGGTTCTGAGGCTAAACCTGTAGTGTCCTCAGTAACCCACCGTGATTTTGGAAAACTGTGACTACACAAAGAATTTGCCCAAAATAACAAAACATATGTAAACTAACACCTCTCTCTCTCTCTCTCTCTCTCTCTCTCTCTCTCTCTCTCTCTCACACACACACACACACACATGCATGCACGCACACTTTTAAACTAAAATTTTGATTATACACTTTTTATCCCACTTTACAATGAATGAGCTACTTTCCTATTACAAATTTCATCAAATACAGAACAAGGTACTGTTAATCATTTACATTAAAATCTTCACTTTCACCATTCTAAAGATTGAAAAAAAATATGATGAAACAAAAGGAGAAACATATATCTGCAATTGCAGATACATGGTCTAAAAATAAAATGAAATAATATCTTAACAACTGAGGTGGTAGAATTTCAAACTGAGCAAAAGATGTATACCTTTTCCAAGCACAGAGCCAAGTACCACAAACTAAAGACAAGGTTTGGCATGGGCAACTCTCACATACATGAGGAAGAATGCATATTTGTTTATGCATTACATAAGTGTTGGGTTTTTTCTCTCTGAGGGTGGGGAAGAAGTGTGTGTGTGCAGGAATGGGGAGTCCCAAGAAGACCATTTTTATATGGTTACTATGGGATTATTCATATTCCTAAGGAAACCAACAGGTTAAGTAACCAACCATCTGGCTTAAAGGATTTAAGAGCTAAGTGTGGCAGCAACTGTGGGGAGTCTGATGTTAAACATCTAAAGACCACAAACAGACCCTGAAATCGGGATCTTAAAAAAAACGAAGCTTACCCGGCCAACAAGAATCGGTTCAGGTCCAGAAAACTCTTCCAGGACAAACATTTGATTCCAAACCCAGCCTCTTTTGGAGCGGTTCAAAATCCGCTGTTCTTCACTCAGCCTGTTTAGTTCCAAAGGGGATCCACTCATTAAAACGTGAGACTGATTCATTGGAGCCATGTAAATGCAAGGGGGGAGAGCAATCCATAATATTATTAATGGAGTCCAGAGATCCAAGAGCATTTCCGCTAGCCGTTCTGGCATGGTCCCACCAGTTAAGCAAATCACCACGAAAATGAGACAATTATTTTGTTTGCCTCCGGTCTGCAGCCATCCAATTCATCATGCAGTGCCGAGCGCTTACTTACAGCTCTGCCACGTGCTGAAAGCTCTGGAAACAGACATCATCTAAGCAGCTTTTCTAAGACCACAATCCATTGGCTTTCCTTTCCGTTGAAATTTCCTGCAAAAACAAGGAGGAAGAAAGATAAGGGTCCCCTGTAACAGGTTTTAAAACCAAATCACTGCTTTTCAGAAGCACCTAAGTGAGTGATAATAGGCACTTCCCAAACTCTTGAAGTGAAGGAAGAGGATCTGAAGAATTAGAATGAGTAGACTAATAAGTCCTTTGATTTTTTAAGCTTCATTTAGATTTTAGTATTCATTCCATAGGTGTGTCACTTATCAAAAACTGCTTCAAGCCCTAAGTCTCTTTTCCCTCCTTCTTTCCTATTGCACTCCTTCCCTCCCTCCCTTTCTTCTTAACTTTTGTCCTTCCTTCCCTCTGTCTGGTCCCCCCTTCTCTCTCTTCTTAGATTCTTCTTTGTAATGAAGTTGGGGGTGTATGCAGAATAGATCGCCTCTGACCATTTTCTTTAAAAAAAAAAAAAAACATGAAAAACCTTGTTAAAAGACAGGGTATGCTGAACTCTGTGAAGAAACTCGAAATCTAATGAGTAAATTTAAATAATAATATTAATAATAATAATAGGAATAGGAGTGGGAAAAGGAATTTATCTAATTTTTATGGTCTCCCCTACCAATTTCCATCAGACAGGACTATTTCCATTTCAGGGTACAGAATACAATTCTCTAACAGGATGCTAATAATGAAGGAATAAAATTAGAATGTTCCCAGAGAGGGATTCTGTAATGTCCAGCCTATATGCCATAATCAGGACAGTGTCAGGGCTCCTGTTGTAAATGTACAGGTGAACGGGAGATTTGAATTATGAAAAAAAAAATTCCTTTGGGAATGAAATACAGTAAAAATAAAATTTTCAGTTGAAGAAATTCAGAAAGGGATGAGCAAAATAAATAAAGAAATCCCCATCACCTGAGTTGTCAAATACATTTTTTGCTTACCTTTGGTGTAGCAAAATTTGTTTCTTCCTTCTCACAAAGATTATTTTTAAAGAAAAAATAAATGTTCACTACAGATTCCAGAGAGAAGCCTCACGGAATTAGATTAAATGGGAAAATAATTCCTCAGGACACCTGTGGGAATGGTTTGGCTCAGGGAATTCATAATAGGGTAGGGAACCTTTCACCTCTGCGTCTCTGGTTCTATTCTGGCTCCAAATGCGAAAGCAAAAAACTCTTTAACACTGGGTAGGCTGGTGAGTGGCTTAGTGGAGCCAGATGAAAGGAGCAGACACTGATGCTGCTTGTAAATACAGGCAGTGTCCCCTCTAACAAGATGGCCAGATGGGTCCCCCTGCTTGTCACTCTGTCTGTCCTCAGTTCGATTTCTAGGACTCAAAAGGGCCCCACCCTGATGAATGTGCAGGGCGCCCCTGCAAGCAACAGTTGTTTTGGAAGTGGAAGACAGAGGCTTTCCCTTGGGCACCAACTCAGAGAACACTCCAGAACAATGTCGTCTTCTTTCCCTAATACTGCAGCACACCCAGGGAAATCAAGTCTTCCCTTAAGACCCACTTTGATCCCAAGGTAAAAACACAGATCCGCAGGCTTCAGAACTGGTCCCAATGAAGTAGTCCCCAAATATCTGTCCCTTTCTGAATTGCCAAACCATTTATTTACTGAAGAGGCATCTGCAGGATATCCTTGGGGTGCCAAGCTCTCTCCCAGCAAGACGGTAGGGAGCCGTGCTGAAGGAGTATTGGGCTATGGCAGAGAGTGTCTGTTCTGGAAGCAGAGAGCCTCAGAATTGAATCCATGCTCACCCAACTTGCTACCTCTGCAGTAACGGACAAGATGTTAAAGTTGCCTGAGCTTCAGTTTTCTCAGATGCAGAATGGCCATAAAAATAATCCCTATCGTACAGGGCAGCAGCGGGTGTGGTTCAGAACTAAGACACACAAAAACAACAAAAAGGTGGGAAGCTAAACTGTACCAAACTGTAATTCATGTGATTATCCTCAGTCAGAATATGAGAGTCATGGGGACAGGGTCCCTGACCTGCAGAGGCTTTAGTAAAAAAAGAGAAGCAAAGAATAGAGCTACGTGACTTATACAATAAAAGTAAGCAAGGCCCAGGAGTGGCAAAAAGTTACACAAAAATCTTCCCCAAAGTATCAAGGGGAGGCAGGAAAGGGAAGGGCTTGTCCATTTTATGCAGATGGTTAGATACATTCTGGTCCATGTTTCTGCCTCCCTGCTTCCCAGGGAAGAGACTTATTCTCTTTTCAAATATACCCTTTCTATGGCAGGCCTAGTTCAGGGCTCAAAAGCCACATGTGTTGTTCTCCAGTGACCCAAGTTATATAGATGCAGCAGAGGGTCCTGCAAGTGACCTCTAGTACAGGCCTGTTTGGGGCTTACATTCTAGTCCTTACACTTACCTGGGTACAACCCGGGCTTAATTAATGACAACTGCAAGAATGACAACATTGTTAATAATATGGACCTAACAGTTTATTTTGAGGACCAAAGGAGGTAATCTTGGTAAAGCAGTGAGGATAGATCGGCAGGAATATACCCTGTGAATTGTGCCAAATACCTTTGGGAATCTTGTTGTTAATGATTCTGCTATGGTAAAGCTTAATTCCAACATCAAATCATAATAGATACTTCTATTATGGAAACTACCAAGTGAGATGCAGGTAGAAGGTGATATACATGATAGAGGGCCTATCTAAACTCGCCAGAATCAGGCAAAAGTCATTATAAACCTGGGAACAATTTTATATAATGACAGAGATTCACAAGCTAGAATGAATATATGACTAATGGGATATGTGTGTAGCTACAAAAATCATCCATTGCCAACATATCTTACAGTTAAATAAAGCTTTCAATACCCTGAGTTGTTGTGTTCAAAACCAAGACAGAGAATTCATTAAATGACTTGCTTAAGGAACATCTCCGTAAGGACAGAACCATTATTTGAACCTAGGGAAAGTCACTTCAAAATTCTCTCTTAACACAACCCATTCTTTTATTATTTTAATTAATGATACATATTTTATTATGTGTCATTCACTGGGGATAGAAAAGCAAACAGGTCAGAGCTCCTATACTCAAGGAGCAAACAACGTAATTGGGAAAGATAAAAAACACATAATTGCCATATTAATAAAAAAGTGGTCTTGGGAGGGATAGAGGAATACAGAGTGCTGATATGCCACTCATCTTGGCAGTAGAAAAGAAGGCTTCCAGGAGGAGGTGTCTCCTCCATGTTGAGAAGGAATTAGCCAACTGAGGAGGGGCTCAATGTGAAAGAACATTTCAGTCAACCCACGGACAGGAACAAGTCCATCAAAACCTCCAGGATCTCTGAATGGATAAGTATCTGAGGCAGTTTTTAAATCATTACTTGCAAGTTCACCCAGAGATCACACACTCCTCTTTTTCCCCTAACCCACCAAATCCATAATGGCCATGGTCTCCCAAGAGTCCATGCCAAAAAAAGGCACACTCTTCTTTGACAATTCTTTGTGAAAATGACATGTCTGACTTCTCCAAGTGTTTGGGGAATAAAAGTATATGTCAACCCACAGAGACGGTGTGCAACTTTCCATTTTTTCAGAGGAATGGTGGGTGTCACTTTGCCAATGCCCTGCAGTCACTGACAGAAATCTGGAGAAAAATTATCTCCGTTCAGTGGAAGTTCTTTTTCATCCACATCAGTCATTTTTTTTAAAAACTCATCCCTGTATATAGCTTCTAAGCACTGAAACACTCATATTCTGCCTCATTAAATGTTGCCAAATTCTTAAATTACCTACCTGTATTTTTATATTACCCTTTATTGAAACAGGCTTAGTTTTTGAAATATTCATTTAAAACTGGAAAGTCAATGTAACTTGTCATAATAGAATGTAACTGTAAAATTATAAGATTAATAATGAACATTTAGAAAGAGCCTTGATAATATTAAAACATGAAGAAGGAACACAAGCATCTAATCTTCAAAATAATCCTGATATATGTATTATTATTAATCATTTTCATTGTGAAGATAAGCAAGCAGAAGAAAAGAAGGATCACATTTTATATAAGGTTTTACTTTGACTAATGTGGGTACCATCAAAGCCTGAGGTCATCTCTCTATTTGTTAAAAAGATCAGCAATAGTTAGAGGCAAACTAGTAAACATTTAACAAGGGACTCTCTAAAAGAAAAAAAACAAATCCCTGATTTGGAGTGTTTTCTGATTTCCACTCAGGCCGATTTCAAACTTCCAATGTGACCACTAACCTGTTTTGGCTGTTAATGAAAATTTGACCTTCAACTTCGAGAAACCCAGTAAAGAAGTAATTCTAGCACACCCCTAGTAGGGCCATCTCAAATATTACTATGCACACAAATCACATGGATTTCTTGGTAAAAAACAGATTCTGATCCAATCTATCTCAGGCCACATCTGGATTGTATTTCTAATAATCCCTCCTGCAGTACTGATTTGAGGACCACCCTTTGAGAAGCAAAGAATTTGAAAGAAGACCATCTTCCAGCTCACACTTCCTTGATATTATCTGAAATATTCAATGGAGTAAAAAGATAACCACTTCCTCTTCAGTGTCATTTAATGCCACAATGGTGCACTACTTAACCATCCTTGTGCATGCAGGACTAAACACACACACCTGACCTTCCCAGTCTGGAGTAGGTTGAATAGAATTTTGTATGGTGGCATGATGCTTTATCCATTCCCTCTCCTTTTATTTTATGTGTGATACTGGGAAAACGGCCCAGCTAACTGGTGTGTCCTCGTGCACATGCATGCAATCATGAAGCGGTGAGATTCAGCCTTCAAAGGATCTTCCACTCGGAGAGAAGCAGGATTCTACTGTCACACCGAGAGCCATACTATTTATTTATTACTTGAACTTTTGTCACCAGCAGAATTAATATTGTCCTTTTATAAGATCAGAGAATAGCTCTATAGGAGTTCTGGAGATGCAACCAAACATTATGTCACTGTTATCAGAATTAATAACCACTGCGAATAGTAGCTGCATATACCAACTGCTTAACTCTCTGCAAGGAAGAAGAAATT